AGGGAGAACAGATGGATGAGGGAGAACAGATGGATGAGGGAGAGCAGCAGGATGAGGGAGAACAGGGAGATGAGCCAGATGAAAGAAGTATGCTTTAGTCTGTTCTGTTGGTGATGTGACTTTTTTCCATTGAAAACTCACGTTTAGAGAATGTTACAAATAAAAATCAAATTTCATTCAACATGCGTTTATTTTTTTTTATAATTAAGTGTTGCACGTGCGCTAAAAAGTGCCCTCCCCCCCCCTCCTGAGCACCTGCCCCCCAAAATGTCTGTGCACGCCTCTGCATTATAGTACTTACCGTACTTTAGTACTGAATTTTGTTCTGACTGTAGTAGTGTTTCATTTTAATACTGAATGTAGTACTGACTATAGTACTGATTGTATTCTTGACTAATAGGCTGCAGAATGAAGTTATAATGAATGTAGTATTGATTATAGTACTGATTGAAATTCTGACTGTAGTAGTGGTTATGATGAGAGTTATACTGAATGTGGTACTATATTTCAGGTGTGAACTCGTTCCTGTTCTTCATGGCCTACAAAGACCGGTACCAGAGCTCCGACTCTCAGGTGAAACACATCCTGTATTTATCTGTTTATTGGTTTTGTCGGCTTGCTGTTTGTTAAAACCTGTCTTTGGATTCCAGCTTTATGAGGCGTTCGGGGTCCTCCGGGATCTCGGAGCTATTGCTCAGGTCCATGCTGAGAATGGTGACATCATCGATGAGGTATAACACCCAGAGCTCTCAGTGTGATCATTTGAATAGTAACATAAAATCAAAGAGTACTTCTGTTAAACCATTTGAAACTGGCGTGTGTTTCAGGAGCAGAAAAAACTTCTCAGTGTGGGTGTTACTGGACCTGAAGGCCATGTTTTATCCCACCCTGATGAGGTACATGTATCTAAACCCTATCCTGAGGTCTCACTTTGTGTTTCCTATTTTATCTTGTAATGTAATCCTTTTTAAACTTTCTTTTTACCTGCTTTGGGTGTATTTCTGTTGATTGTAGACATGCACCGGGCAGGATTTTGGGAGCTGTGCTGCCAATCACTGTTCACAAAAATCAATATCTATTGATCACCGATCACAGCATCAAATTACAAAGTTCTTCAACTGCTTTCTCATGTACATTTACATTTTATTGTCAGGTATCAATATTATAGGAGATGAGAAAGTATCATTAATTGGCAACTGTTTTAGTGCAGAAGGCAGTGGAGACATGCTTTTTTTAAGGAAAATTGAAGATAGAGATAATGCGGGAATGCTTTTAAAAGGTTTGTAGGTGGCTTTTAAGAAAGCTGTTGTATTTAAGCACTAGACCAACCGTTTAATCATCGTACCTCCTGCATAGACACAGATCAGCAGTCACCTTCTCTGTCTGCAGGCTCCTCTGATCCCCTGCTGTCATTCTTCTACCTCCAGCTAGCCGTATCCTCTTGCTGCTCATTCTCCCTTGCTGGCTTCTCCAAAGTACTGCTGTCCTACTTCTGCTCAGCAGTAACCTCTGCCCCATGCTCAGTGTGCCGTTTCTGTGGCTGACCTATTAAAACTGCTGCTGTGCTCCTTCGATCCTCTCTGCTCTCCTCTTGAGCCACCTTATCCCCCTATTGTGGTGAAATCTCTGTCCCACGGGTTCCTCTGGTCTACCGCTCTGGTTCCTTGGCTCCAGAGGGGGGCACAGCTGGCTGCTGGTTACATTGCTCTCTCATTCTCTGTTAACACACCGATTCCCTACCACTACTCTTCCGTCTGTTGTCCGGGTGATTTGTCCCCCTCTCTTTGGCACTTTGACTATGACAAACATAAGCCAAACGCAGGAGAAATATACGGGTCTGCTCAAAAAAAAACAAAAAACAAACAACACAAAATGCGGTGCTTAAAATCGGTCTTCTTAATACCGTATTTTTTGGACTAAACGTCGCTCCTGAGATTAAGTCGCATCAGCCAAAAAATGCATTTTGAACAGTGGTGTCAAAAGTACACACATTTGCCACTTAAGTAGAAGTATAGATACTGAAGTTTAAAAAACACTCAGGTAAAAGTTGAAGTGTTAACTTGACCTCTTTACTCAAGTAAAAGTGAAAAAGTATGTGCTCCAAAAACTACTTAAAGTATAAAAGTATAAAGTAATCTTTAAAAATCCAGCCAGATGCCACCATATGAAGTGAAAGCTCACTTTTTCGACTATTTCAAAAAATTCTTTGAGATAGGGCCAAGGATGAGGGGGGTCTTGTTGGTCTTCATCTCCCGTTACGCTCTCGCCTGTCTCCGACCTTTCAGACATTTCAACATCTTTTTCTGTTTTCTAAATTGTAGCATGGCATAGACAATTCATGTTTGCAGTTAGAAGAACACCTGCTTGCTTCTGATGATTTCCTTTAGCTTACCAATGAGTGTTTGCGTTATATGACTCATCCAATTACACTAGTTTTCACTAGATGTGGATGGAGCGAATGGTCTGAATTGGATGGCGCACATGACATGAAATAAATATTTATAAAAATTTAACCGAAGCCAAGAGTAACGAGTAATGTTTGTTTTAAAAATGTAAGGAATAGAAAGTACAGATACCGGTACTTTGTGAAAATGTAATGTGTAGAAGTCAGCCGTAGGAAGAAAAATAAGTAATGGAGTGAAATATAGATATCTAAAAAGTGTACTTAAGTGCAGTAATGAAGTATTTGTACTTACCTGACACCTCTGGTTATGAATAGGAAAAAAACAAATATATGTTGCATCGGACTAAAAGTCTCATCATTTTATAAGGTTATTCTATCCATGGAATCAGTGTTCTGATAACTGGCTACTGTTCGAAGACCGCATTGTTTTATTTCATGAACTAGCATCTGAGAAGCAGTGATCTCGGGGTTTGAGGTTCCATTTGTACAGCTCTTCCTCTAGACATGGCCATCTAGCCTTTAGCACTCGTTTTTTTTTTTTATTACCTTTAACTCTTCCTCTGCTTTTCTCCAGTCCCTAACTGGTTTTTAACTGCAACCAAACTGTCGTTCAGCTGCCCTATTACCATTTTCGACTGCATATTTAATTACTTTCAGCTTGAATTCAGCAGTATATAAGTTTCTTTTGGGTGGCATATTTCTATTCAGTCATCGTTGTTGTAATGCTAATTTGTTTTGTTGTGGTAAGTTGTAATGTTTTTTCTCTCAGTGGTATTAATAGAATACATGTTCTGGCAGGCAAAGTTACATAGTGCCCTCTTGTGGTGAAAAAAAATGTAAATATATGTCGCACCAGAGTATAAGTCACATGGCCAGCCAAACCATGAAAAAAAGTGCGATTTATAGTCCGAAAAACACGGGAACCGGCCTGTTGCAGATCATGACCGATCACGTGACAATCGTCCTATTTCCGAACATTGCCAGTAGACTGGTGCAAGTCTAGTTTAGTATGATGTTGGGGAAAGAAAACTGATGTCAAGTTCTTTCTTGTGCCTCAAAGATGTAGCCATTAAAGTTGATTATGATTATTTTGGACTGATGTAATAACAATAACCTGATGGCTCTCATAAATGTTTCTGTAAACCTGCTTATGGCTCAGGATGATTCTTCTGTGAAGAATAATCTACCTGATGAGTAGTTCATGAACAGGTAACCTCACCTGGTAACTTGTGTCTGACTGCAGGTGGAGACTGAGGCGGTCTACCGGGCTATCACCATCGCCAAACAGGCCAACTGCCCGCTGTATGTTACCAAGGTCATGAGCAAGTCCGCTGCTGATGTCATCGCTAAAGCCAGGAAGAAAGGTGACCATTCAGGCATAAGTTAACCAACTTCCTGCAGGTTATTATCAGAACAACTCATCAGTATGGAGTTACAGCCTATTCATCTCATCAAGTGACCATGTTCAGATTGGGCTCACTTGATGAGATGAATGGAGTCTGGTGTGCTGATGCTTGGTTGGAAAGAAAACCTGCAGCCACACGGCTCTTTCTGGAACCAGTTTGACACCCCTTGCCTAAGCTCAGGTGTGAAGGAAAAACGGCTTGATGTGTTTAGGCTTGTTAAAGGTTGGTCAAAGGTTAACATTCAACGTCACATATGACATAAGTTTCTGTAGGACCTGACCATGCTGTGGTTTGGTGGGTGTAGAAGAACCATATCATGATCTGACTGTCCAGTTGGTCTAGTTGGTGCTGCATCTTTTGTTAAGTCACTGATGCCCCTTTAAGAGTTGGCTTCATCAACATTCAGTCAGTTTCTGACCATCAGTAGGATTCAAGTCCCAGGTTCCCCCAAACCAAAACTGCTCCACCTCTGAAAGGAAATCCAGCAGCTGTCACCTGTTCCTCCCTCTGTCCTCAGGTGTGGTTGTGTACGGGGAACCAATTACAGCCTGCCTGGCCACTGATGGCTCACACTACTGGTCCAAAGACTGGGCCACTGCGGCTGCCTTTGTCATGAGCCCTCCGCTGAACCCAGACCCTTCCACGCCGCAGTACCTGACCTCCCTGTTAGCATGGTGAGTGTTCCTCTCTCTACCTCCACCTGCCATAAGTAACAAGTAAACCTTAAAGGCGTTTGGTTTTTTTCAGCGGCGATCTCCAGGTGACTTCCAGCGCACAGGCAAGCTTCTCCACAGCTCAGAAGGCTGTGGGTAAAGACGACTTCACGCTGATCCCAGAGGGAACCAATGGCATTGAGGAAAGGCTGTCAGTGGTCTGGGACAGAGCTGTGGTAGGATTCCCCCACCTACTGCTACTCTGAAACAGCAATATCCAGTGATATTGCTGTTTTGATTGCTCCTCAGCAATCTCAATCTGGTTGGGTTATCCAGGTGGTTGTTAAAAGATAAAGTCTGATGCCGATTTACTAGTTATTCTGATTTTTTTTTATATAGTAAAATTGTAAGTTTTCTTTTTTTAAATGAAGCAATTAGGGCTGAAAGAATTAATCAGATTAATCGTGATTAATCGATTATTGAAATAATCATCAACTAATTGATCGATTTACTTGCAGCCCTAGAAGCAACACTATGTAATGTAACCTCTAGGCATACTACTGTACGCCTGTAACTTCCAGGTTCAACCCTGCAAGGTCACATATTTAAACAGTCTCCCTGCTTGTTTTGGAATCTGATAGCAGATCACTTTGGACCAGCAGATTAAGAACTCATGGAGTTATTTGTTGAGAAAAGGCCACATTCATTACTCAAGATTAAATCCCACATCAGAGAACCAGAAATATGTTTGATCAGGTAAACCAAAAACATCTGTTTTGTTGCTTAACAGCAGCTTATAGCTTAGTTAGCTTTTGTGTTTAAAGGTAGCTTATACCGCACTAAAGAGGCACTGTGGGTTGCATGACTTATTCATTGACAGATCCGACCCTGTCAACTTACAGATGTGTGTTTTTTTTTTAAATGTCACCCAATTTTCCTGAGCAGTGCACACAACACACAGTGTTATAGCTTTGAAATCTTGGCACACACAAAAATTTATGCAGCGCCTAAAATAAAATCCAACATAGACTGTAAATCAATTAGATGAACAGCTTTCTTTCTGTATCATTTAAAATCCGTGTATCATTCGTTTTTCAACTTAAAACCAACAATGAAAATGCAAGAAACTGTTTTTTCGCCCCCCAATTTTTATAAAAAATATAGAGACATTTAGCGCAGTTTTTTTTTCTTGCCATATGTAATTAAATATATTAAAAAAAACAAATGAATAAGGAATAAATTGATCATATTTTTGTTTCGTTTTGGGATCTTATAGCGTCCTGGCTTCATGGCTGCTGTCACAAATGACCTCGGCCTATTGGACGATGAGCCGTTATTGAATAAACACAATTTTCCGCAATCCATTTTAAAAAATCACAATCTAATCCATTTTATAATAAAAAGTAACACATTTAAAAGTTGTATTTGGATGAATATGTTTAATAAAACGTCAGTGTCCGTAAAGTTCAGCAAATGTTCTTATTCAGCGCAGTGCTACAGGTGCATAAATGAATATAACTAATTATTTATCAGTCTCTCTGCTATCCAACATGCACACAGCTTTAGTGGCACCTGTTTACCACAGAGCGATGCTCCATGTGACTTTTTCCTTTTCGCTAAATTCAAGTACACTTTGAAGAAAAACTTAAACAGGTCAATCAGCACATTCTCAAATAAGGCAGCTGCAGCACTTAGATATGAGGAGCTAAAAGAGATCTCACATGTTGTGGATATTTATGCTACATTTCAAGCATCCAGTGCTGACTGTGAAAGAAGAATTAGTTTAATTAATCATTTACAGACAGCATTCGGAAAGCTATTGAAGATGCATATTTTCACCATTAGAGAAGTGAGAAGGACAGACCTGAAAAAAAGATCAAATTTAAGTCAGATTTGTTTATATTCGAGTGACATTTATTAAGACTCTTTTATTTATAGATATTAATCATGACATGCTTTTATATTATTTATGTTAGTAGAAAGGCTAAAACACTGGAATTGGTACTCAGGAAGCTTGTAATTATGCTCAGACACATGGAAAATTAAAGGGAATTTTGATTGTACCCCACATGGAGCATACAATACCCACTAAGAGATGTATATCTACCTGGAAAATCCTTTAATATATCTAAGATTAAGCTAATACTTGGGTCAAAGGTTACACAGTGTTGCTTTAATATGCAACCAAAAAAACAAACCAAAAACACCCAGAAGTTTATATGTTCGACCCCTCCTGGTAGTCCCTTGAAACAACAGATGCATTCAACTCAAAGGCTGTTGCTAGCTCCTAAGGAATGACTGAATGCATCTGCTGCTTGAACAAACAGCTCAAATGTAACCTAAAACTATATGCCTCAAGCTTGAATAGCTCAGGCTGCAAAATCAGGGATTGCTTTAGAGGTTATAGCCATGCTGGACAGACAACGCATAATGTATGGCGGGGTATTCTGATAACCTGGGTCACAGACTATTTTTTTACCTGAACTGTTTCTGCCTAGATTAAAAAAATAATGCAAAGCTGTGAAATCAAAGCATGGATAGAAACACTAATTGAGCTCCCTGGAGGAGGGTGGGACACACTTTCCATAAATGATGTTGCTTATTTTCCTGTACTTATTATTCTCTCACTAGCTGCATTGTCCCCAGCAGATATCCTATGGCTGAATCCCAAACCATCCTCTAAGCACTAACCCTTAACTATCAAGTGTCACTCCCAATGAAGTGTCACTCGCAGCTGTGGAAGGCTCCTCGATTGAAGGTGGGGGGTTATAAATGAGAATTGGATGGCTTCTTCCCTCCAACGGAGAAGGAAAGCAACTGTTTCTATGGCAACACAGTGATGCCCCATATGTGTGGCTGTAGCTCTGTGGAGCGGGTGAACATAACGTTAAACATTTGCCTCTTTCTGCTGATGAAGATTCTCAGTCATCCAGGTCATAGTCATTCCGTAAAAGTTCAAAAAAATACCCACTGGACTTGGTTTCCAAGATTTGAAGACCTACCCGCTCCAGCCGGTGAACAATACCTCCTTAACGACCGACCCTTAACAATCATAGACAGGTTTCAGGTATTACAGGAGACAATACCCCCTTAACGGCAATCCCCACCATTTAATGACCGACCTTCAGGATCATAGACAGGTTTCAGATATTACAGGCTAACAATGGAACCAAACGACCCACTCATTTGCTACCATTTGCATGTTTCCAAGCAATACAAGGCCTTGTCTATATAAGACTCAAACTCAACGCGGATCCAGACATTTGAATTGAGAAAGCTTCCTGGAGAGGTGGCGAAACCTCTTCAAATCTTGGAAACCAAGTCCAGTGGATATTTTTTTGAACTTTTACATAATTTGCCCCTTTCTTAAAACAAATGTATACGGTCAAATAAAACTATTTCAAAGAGGACCTTCCATTTTGGAATGAATTATGTTTTTTTCATAAACTATCATCTGATATTTTATCAGTTTGACAAAGATGCAGCAAACCAGCGGAATTTACTTCTGGTGGAACATCTTTCCTCCGCCACCAGGCCGCTGTTATACCTGCTGCCAAATTCCAACGAGACTGCAACTGATGCAGACTTGCTATTTGAGGGCTGGAAAGGCCACTGGCCTTACCCACTACGTGGTTTGGGATGGCACTTAATCCTCGTTCCCTTCCAAGCAAACAGAGGGTTAGCACTCAGGGTTAGTGCTTAGTGTTTGGAGTTTCTTAACTCGGAATAAAAAAAAAAATCTATTTCATATTTAAAAAATAAACAACTGGTTATCTTTACTTTAGACATCATTTTATTTTACTGCTGCAAGTAGCGGTAATGCAGGATAACTAAATTAATTTTCTATGTATTGGTAAAACGAGCCAAAGGTGACAAAACTGGTTGACACCAAAGTCATGATTTGGATCATTATGGGCTGGACCAAATCAGGAGCATAACCCGTTTCTTCCAGGTTTTCTGATTTCCATCTTGTGTTTAAATTTTGTCTGCAGTCTACAGGGAAGATGGACGAGAATGAGTTTGTTGCTGTCACAAGCACCAACGCTGCCAAACTCTTCAACATGTATCCACGCAAAGGTATTTCCTTCAGTTTATATTACTACGTTTGACAGTGAAAGTTTTCCATTTTCCTATGAGCTTGGCTAAAGCCCCTGGTCTAGGGTCAGTTTATAAACCCATATGACCCTGTTTGTGGCAGAAAATCTCTGAAAGCCAGGAATCTCTGGCAGAACAAGTGATAATATTTTAAACATTTTCTGTGTCACGATCGAAGCCCCGGTAGCTGATCTAATTATTCACCTGCTTCCTCTGCTAAATATACGGTTCAGCCCAGCTATCTGGGCCAGATCGTTATTCGTCTATTCTTTGTTTATTCGTACTATGTTTTTGTGTCAGTTATTTATGTTTATCACATGAGATTTAGGTTCCTTGTTCATGTCCTGAGTCTTGGAGGCCAGTGGATTGAGATGGTTTGGTGTTTGTCACCTGTCTCCTGGTCGTGTCTTCCCCGCTGAGCCCTCAGGGTTTTGGCTGGGAACATGGGGAAGGTCCGTTTTAATTCCAGTAAGCCTGGCTCCAAGGTGGAGACCAGTTTAAAGTTTGGCATTCACTTAGTACCAAGTCTTGTCTATGTTCCTCTCTACCAATGAGGCTGCCTGTCTTCCTCTGCACATGTCTGTCTGAGCACGATGCTGGACTCAAGAACTCCGATTCTGCCTGAACGCTCTAAGGGTTCTTGGAACCTTGGATCTGTCTGTTCCTGTTCGGCACAGAACCCCTGGTTGGGCTACGTACGGCTGGATCCTGGAACTGTTTCTCTGACCTGGATTGGTCTCCTGCCTGCTCACTGGGGTTGCTGCATCGTGGAAACTTTTGAGGGCTCTGAGCCGCATCTTGTTTGGCAGTCCATCGGCTGGAAATTGCCTTCCTCATAGAGGATGGACTAAACTGTTAGAGTGCCAGTGATGGGTTGCACTCCACCCCACCTGCAGCCGCTGCAGTCCGCTTATCCTCAGCAGCCCTGCTCACTGGGGTTGCTGCATCGTGGAACCTTTTGAGGGCTCTGAGCCGCATCTTGTTTGGCAGTCCATCAGCTGGAAATTGCCTTCCTTGTTTCTGTTCTGTTATATTATTTTTCTGTTGTTCAACGTTTTTAAATGTCCCATTGTCAGACTCGCCTTGAATACTGGGTCCATCTGTCCGGTTTTATGACATTATGTTAATTATCCAACTGCTTCTGACAATACAAATAATTTTGAACTAAAAGCAGAAGTACAACCTGTTGAGTATTAAATATTGATTATATCTGTATCCTTACATTGCTGCATTGCATTTAGCTTGGGGAACAAAGCCAACAATATTATACATACAAGCAAATACTAAAATCCAGGTTTGGCTGTAAGATTGATGCCAAACAGTAATAGTTACTTCTACTGCAGCTGTGGTGTTTCTGGATGTTTTACAGGAGGCTATTGTTCAGATTTGAGTAACTAGTATTATAATAACTGTGTGTTTCTGCATGTTTTCAGGACGTATTGCTGTTGGATCTGATGCTGACATTGTCATATGGAACCCAAAAGAGACCAGGACCGTTTCTGCAAAGGCTCACAACCTGGTAACTACTTGTTCAGTTGGTCAATAATTCATTGGTAACTGATTAATAATTACAACACACCTCTATGTCCAGACACTTGAGGTAAACATCCTGGAGGGTTTGGAATTCCGAGGCGTTCCAACGGTGGTGATCAGTGGTGGTCAAATTGTTATGGAGGATGGGCAGCTCAGCGTGACTGAAGGTTCTGGACGATTTATTCCAAGAAAGGCTTATCCTGACACCGTCTACAAGAGGATCAGAGCCCGCAGCAAGGTAGCCACCAGGTTAAACAGTGATTATAACTAGTGTCTGCAGGTTAACCAGGTTAACTTTAACAATGGTAACCAAATCCATCCACCAAAATGAAGACTGTTTTTATGTTTGTGACAGTGCAGGTTTCCCATGGATCCTTAAAAAATCTTAAAAGGCATTGGATCTTCAATATAAAACTAAGACCTTAATTAGTATAAACATGTCTTAAATCAGTCTTTCATAAGTCTTAAAAATGTTACCACATTATGCATAAGATTTCTTTTTTTTAATCCATATCAAAAATTTTAATAAATGACAATGATTTTTTTTACATTTACCAAATGACTTGCTGTAACCGTTATTAGTTCCGTCCCGATAGCGGAACTAATAAAAACAATGTCACAGCCGGACCTTTTGATGATATGCCACTAACTTTTCATCTGGACAGCATGGGCAAGTGTAAAATTAATGCAACATGCCTATAAAGCCAAGACTTTTCTGCATGGCTAAAACCAGTACCAGGCAATGTATATGAGGCACGGTGTATTTTGTGCAAGAAGTCATTCAAGTTCGGCAAAATGAGAATCAAATGGAGTCACACATGCGAGGCCTGAAACTCAAAGCATCAAAGTAAAGATACCAAGAAGCAGCAGGTATTTCTCAGTTCTGTTCCACCCTTGTCACTGCAAAGCCTCCACTGCTATTTCCGATATCAACAACAGCGCCGGTAGCAGCAAATCTCAGGATAATGTTTGGCGTTACGTCTACAATGAAAGCAGAGCTATTATTGACTTTGAGTTGGGAACAAAACAAAGTTGCTGAATTCAGTTCAGCAGTTGTTTAAATATATCTGTTATTTGTGTGTTTTCAGCTTTCTTCCTATATGGAAAGTTTTTCAAAATTTGGGTAATTTTTTCACAACCAGGTTTTTCTTGTGTTTATTAAGAAAGTGGCATTAAAAAGTCTTAAAAGTCTTAATTTAACTTGCCTTATGCAGTAGGAACCCTGCTGTGCAAACCACAGTTGGTTAAACAGTTAACCTGTAACAACTTACAAGTGAGGTTACCCAGGTAATCCGATGTAAATATGTCAATCATCTCTCAAGATTAAATATCTATTTAAATGAAGACATTGGCGGCATGAGAATGACAAGTCGATTTGTTCAGATGGACGGTTGGATTGGTCATGTTGTGGAGGTTCTAATGGCAAAAGTTTCTAGCAGAGATGGGAAATGTGGAGTCAACAAGTCATCTCCATGTCATGTATTTGTTCTACCCACCCACTGAAGCAGGTGAGTCCAATCTTCACCGTGAATCAACCTGTGCAGATTTGACTCACCTGGTTAATTGGCTGGGTAGATTAAATACATGACATGGAGATGACTTGTTGACTCCACATTTCCCATCTCTGGTTTCTAGACCCAGTTATTGTGATTTAGAAAGAACTAAAGTAGAAATGTGAACAGAACAATCTCTGCTGTAGAAATTACAGTTACTGCTGAGTTACAGTTACTGTTTCTGGCAATGGTTTCTCCTGCTGTGGTGCAAATAGCATCCTCCTGTTCAGGTGTGAGAAGGGCCCTCTGTCACCCTTGTGCACACATATAATGATGCAAAATAGAATATTCTGTAAGATTATAAAGTAAACTGACTGTATCTCGTAAACCAGCCTTTTCAACTGGAGTACTGTGATTGAAAACATGGTCTACAAGTATGGCTGCCATCTAATCAGGTCTCTTCTCCCTCTTTCTCTGTTTTGTTTTCAAACTCTTCCAGCCCAGCCTAGCTCCTCTACCCCTTTTCTCCGGATGTTTTGTTATGATTCTGCTTTTTATTTACCTCTATTTGCCTCTCGTTTGTGATGTACATTTGAGTTATTTTAGAGAGCTGTTAGAGCAAGTCGGATTTTTAAAATGAGGTTGAGTGAAAGAGAAAAACTGTGATCACTACAGGGTGAGGATTAGGGCTGAAACAATCTGATTAATTGGGATTACTCCATTATTGAAATATTCGTCAACTAATATAGTAATCGATGAATCAGAAAAGATCAGTAAATGGATCCTCTGATGTTGCAGATGGCAGAGGCTCGTGGCGTTCCCCGTGGCAACTATGACGGGCCAGTCCATGACGTCAGCAGTATGATTAAATCAGTCCCACCAACTCCAACCACTAGGGGGCCTACAGGTGCAAAAATACCAACTGGCCCCCGGAATCTTCACCAGTCGGGATTCACTCTGGCAGGTATGTCTGTAGTTTGGAGCTTGTTCTTGGCGAGGTGTGTTGCATTGTGGGTAAACACTGCCAGGTGATGATAAAATTAATCTGATAAACCCTTCATCTTTCAGGGGCTCAGGTTGACGATCACATACCACGTCGCTCTGCTCAGAGGATTGTGGCGCCGCCTGGTGGACGTTCCAACATTACATCATTATCTTAACCATTTGTATGTTTTTCCAAGTTTGGAGGAACGCCTGTTTAGGTGATACAGCTTCATTTAGTGAACCTTGGAGGTGTTTCCACCCTGGAACCGTCTGGCCCGTGTAAGCCTGATCTGTAGCTCTGTAGTTTGATTCTTCATCTGAAACACTCATACCGCATCTCCTTAATCCATATCAAACTCTTATTGCAACATAACCAACCTGAGAACTCTTGTATTGAATGTAGCAGTCTGTCTTTATACCCTACAGTAGTTCCTAGTCTTTTAACAACCCCCTTTAGCCCAGTTTGGCTCCACCATCATGACTTACTGTACGAAGCATCCTTAAACCAAACTTGGAGTGCTGCCTAGATTAGGGATAATCTTGTTTCTAAAGCCTGGCAAACATTTAATCCATAGCCCCCTTCCAACACCACTCCCACAGGAAGGGTATACTAAAACCTTTCTGCTCCTCATGTGAACAGCAGCTCATGGTTTCTGTCAGTACAGCCAGAAGAATCTCTCATAGCAGAATGACTTGTATCACTAAAAACCATAGTCATTTATTATATCTACATGTTTCCAGCTGTTTGTGCCATAAAACCACTTCACAAACTGGTTCTGCTAATCAGAGGAAGCTGTTGGTTTTCCACTCCTCTCACTGCTGGTGGTGCTAACTAACACAGCATAGCCATTGAATAATAACCCTGTTGAAACCAGGAACTCCGTAATAAACAACTTGAGGGCTTTTAATTTGAAAGGTCTTGTCTCTGAGGGATGCGTTCACAGCCTTATCCTGTATTTAGAGATTCATTGACATCATGTGACTCTGTAGCCTGTGATGTCACATTTTTAATGTGGTGTTTTATACGATTTTGTCATAATTTTGTATTTTACTGTTTTTGTATCTCGGCTGTACTTGGTTCATTGTTCCCTTTTATGGGTTATATTTATGTTCACAGGTAGTCCAGTTGTTGACCTCATTTTGAATAAGATTTGTTTCTGGTACCGATAACAGAATCTGATCACGTCTTCAAAAGTAAACTAATTGGAGCGATAAGACAGTGGCTCACCTTAGGTTCTGGTAGGCCTGGCTTTATCATAACCTGATCCGTCTCTGGGGTCTTATGATCCAGTCAGTTTGGTCAGAACTGGTCAAATTTTATTCAGACTGAGGTCGTCAACAGAGTTCTCTAAAGCAGGGCAACCATTGGCTGGTCATTAAGGTGGGCGGAGCCACCTGGTCTATTAGGTGGAGTCAGCATTAGCTCCACCTTGCTTGTTAAATATAGTACCTTCCTGATCCAACCGGACCAGAGACTTTACAGTGGCTTTGTCCACCTTGTACTTTCTTGCCGATAAGTGTTAGCTTCGCTGCTCTCATGTTGGGAGTCCGGCTGTCACTAGGGAAACATGTCAGGGTGTTGGCATGTTTACAGAAAGATCCTTAAACTGAAAATTCAAGTTTTAATAAACAGGCTTTTCTATAGGACAGTAAGTCCACAGTTCACCTGATCAGCAGGTGCCAGGTTTAAATTAATCCAATCCAGGTTAATCTGAACTCGGACTAACCTGGACAAGATTAGCAGACTGCTGGGTGGCTTCTGGTCGTCTTTCCGACAGTGATCACCAACGCTACTGGCTGTCCATGAGGAGGGTTACCATAGCAACCACATCTGTGATGTAATTGGTCTTGTGAAGGTTGTAATTTGTACTTGTAATGACAGTTGCATGATTAAAATGTGAAAATAAAACCTCTGGAGATGCCCATTATTAATATCTTCTTTAGATAAACTGCAGCGTGGCTTCAGACAGACCTGCTATTATATATGGGGAAATAAGACAATAGGAACCCTATCAAGGCAGGAAGTATGCTGAGGCAACATAGCCTCACTGCCAAATAGTCAAATATCGAGGCCTGGTCAAGTCCTCTGCACATGCGCGCTCACGACGCTACGGAAGCCGGCAGACCAAACCAGCGCATTCAGCTCGGCAAAGAACTCATGCTCTTCCTCATCACTGAAGTCCTCAGACATTTTTCTTTCGTTGTTTCTTTCTTTGCACAGGTAAACAGCACATTTCTTCTTCTACGCTTGCATTATCGGCAGAGCAGACGCTGAATGCGCACTTTCATCTGGTTTGGTCTGCCGGCTTCCGTAGCGTCGTGAACGCGCTTTCAGGAAATCCTATACACTACTGTTTATGCTCTAAAAACATTCTAAATGACTTCGTTTCGAGTAAATTCTGGATGCTACCCACTCAGGACACTTGGAATACATTGGACGAGCAGTATGGAGGAATATTGACACGTTTTTTGTGGACTTTTATGGACCTTTCTGTCTCGGTCACCATAGACCTCCATTATTTGAATGTCAGCAGACAGCAAGAAGCCTCCCAGATCTCCAGATGCATTTGAGATATCAAAAAAGTACTCCAGGGTGTTGTTCAGCATGGGGGTGAGTAGAAAATGAAGGCTAATCATGTTTTGGGTGAACTATTCCTTTAAGTTAACTGCCTTCTCTAAATTGTCCTCAGGTGTGAATGTGTATGGTTGTATGCCTGTGTGTTGCCCTGTGACAGACAGGCGACCTGTCCTCGGTATACCCCGCCTCTCTCCCATAGACTGCCAAGGATAGGCACTGGTCCCACTGTGAGCCTTACAGAGTAAGTCGGAGATCGATAGATGGACTGAAAACTATTTATCGACAAATTACAAACTTTCATATTTCAAAACCGATTCTTGTTCCTACTCTGTTGAATAAACATCTGCGCACAGCAACATGTATATTTATTGTTTTTTAACTTAACTATATAGGTTATTTAATCAGTAGATTGGTTGAATGTTATAATCTTTTAGCTTTTTTAGAAACCTAATATTTAAGCATTTACTTCTATAGAAATGTGGACACTGCATGAACATCAAGATAAGTAGTTTTTTTTCTTATCTAATTTGGTAAAAACTGTTTAACATACATTGTTCAAAAAGTTTGTTTTTCTTTTTCAAACTTGCATTTTTTCTTTTTAGACTTGCAGATTTTTCTTTGAGCTTCAAACTTATGCCCTTTTTTGGTGTGGGGGGGCGGGGCCTGAGACAACAGCGTTCTGTTCAACACAGTGGCTGAACAATCCAGCGTCCACTGGAACTGGAAATTAACTATCATTAATATTTTATGTATAAATAACATGTTTTACTGATAAAAGAAGCTTACATGAACACACAACGCAAATTTCAGATAATAAAACACGATCTTGACAAATTTACAGAGCATTTAAACCATTCCCCATGCTCCCATGCAATGTAAATGAACCAGAATATGTACAATAAATATCACGAGTTTTAAGGAAATTCATACTTTCATAATTAAGGCCCAGATCTGTTGGAGAAGAACATTATATCAGACCAGGTTCTTTTAACTGCTTTAACTAAAACATACGAATTGGGCAATGATTCTTGTCCCGATTGGTCCACAGAGCTGTCAATCACGATGACATCCATAACCAGGAGGGTCATGGGACATGTGAGTCTTCCAGTTAAATCTCAGCGTCAAATGAACCAGCAGCAGTTCTATTGTGGAGAGAAATTGATCTTAGTGATTGATCGAGGTCACATGAGCAGGCTGCTCAGTCCGCTGCCTCTCTGAAGTTACAAAACATCCAGATCAATTTTGAGAACACTTTATGGTTCTCCATATGGAGAATGATACTGTCAGTATCCAAACTTTGGATCAGAATTAGCTGTTGCCTCTAATTCATGAGGAAGAGTGGAGTCTTTCCCACCTAATCATCACATGCTGCTGTTGGGTCACTTGACCGCTTACGTAACTGGGATCTGAAAAAGGAGACAGGATTAGAAGTGAAAGGTCAGAATGCTGCAGGATTAAAAAGTTAATCTGCTGGAGAGGAAATCCGTGGCTGCTGTTTTGCTGCAGCTCAGACCAACTCTAACCAGAGGTCTGATGTTTTTCAATAAAGTTCCATGTTCTGATGCTCTGAATGACCTGCTTCAGAATTGCCATGAAAAGGTGAATTTAAACCCATAATTTTTTTATCTGTATTATCAGAACCTAGAGCGTTCAGACGAGAATGCTCAGTACTTCCATTGCCGGAAGAAGGACCACAGCCAGCTGTGTTCATAACGGTCTATTTCAGTAACCAGGCTGATAAAATGTCTTAGACAGGCAGAATACAGGAACATACAGTTAGCATCATATCAGAACTTCCTCACTAAACAGATCAGAACTGTGCAGGTGGGAAAGCTGTGAGTGTAATGGATTCTGGTTTCTTTTGCTGTAATGTTTAGAGTCCTGGAAATTTCAAATAAATGTCCAATCCTTTGATCAACATATGGAAGTTCAGACCAAAATCATTTCCTCCTTTTGTGATTTAGGGACTGAATCTTAGAGTGAGGATAATGTTCTTTGTGCTGGTACTAGACCAAAACAGAACACAGCAGAATTTTTTGATTAGAGAGACAGAATGATGGTTCTGCAGAGAAACGAATGTATTCAACCCGGCCACTGGTTGATCCCAACTCCTCTAAACCAGTGGTTCTAACAGGTGCATGTTTTCTTGTTTTTGTTTTGAGTATTTGAGAATTACAACAGGCGTAAACTGATAGTTGAACTAACTTGTTGACTGGATGCCAACTTATGGCATCAGGATTCAGCCAAAAGTCCACATAATTAATAAGTACTCCTACGAGCAGCTTTATTTCATACAGACGTTCAGAAACGACACCTACCGTGCATGTTTAACATGTTACATGTGCAAATAGATTACCACGGGACCCCAATATACAACACACGAGTGCTTGTTCCGACTCTTTGCTAAGGTACCCATTGCAAACTGTCTTCGTTTCTAGCTGAAGTTAGAGCTAGCAGAAACCTGCCTAGTGGTTAGAGCAGTGTGCTTGTGCTCTGAAGAGGTTGCAAGTACCCGGTTCGATCCCCACAGCCTTCACTCTGGCTCTCTGAGCAAGACCCTTAACCCCACACTGCTCACCATGGGGATGGATTAAATGCAGAGGTAAATTTCTCAAGTGTGAGAACAATAAAGTTCAATTATTATTATTAACCAAAGGGCTATTTGACCTGAACCTTTTTTCTAGATGTCTTATAACCCTGTTTAAAGTCGTAGGGAAACGGCCGCTCCAACCGTTGCATTTCTCAATTCTCCCGAGTGGTGCACGACTTTCCACGAGTGAATAAAGTGAATGTGATTGGTTGTTTATCAAGAGGGCAGGATTGTTGTGGCGGAAGGTTCACAAGCATGTTTGATTGTGGCCAGTTTGTCGGAAGCATCATGCTAACCAGTTAGCAACTTAGTGCTAGTAGGTTCCCAATGGTAAAATACATTGGGACCAAGTAGCACTAAATCTGTGATTTAGACGCTGCCAGTTCGGTTAGGTCTACGCCTGCCGAAGACACAGACGTCCATCCCTGTGAACTCTGGGATGTAACTCAATGGTAAAGTAAATGATTCTTATTTCTTATTTCAACTGTTGCGTATATTAGCTGCGACATATGAATCAAGATGCTATGAATGAAAAAAAATTGATTGACAGATGACCGTTGATATATGATTGGCCGATTTTTAGTGTACAACCTGACATATAAGTAACTGGCCTGCATAAGATAATGAAAAAACCCCACAGATTTTAAGACGGGATTAATTTTTTTAAATATAAATATAAAAAATATAAATATAAAATATAAATATAAAAAGTATTGGGACAACATTGTCTGATAAAGAGAACATTTATATACACGTTTAAGGCAGAATGATTTGACGTTTAAATATGACTTCCCTACGACTTTAAACGATGCCCTACAGTCAATCTAAATCCAGTACTCATCCAGACCTTGTTATATCAAATGATGACTGCTTAACAACTTCCAACTCTTTATGAAAAGCGGTTAGCCTGAAGTTGCTGTGGTATTAGTAAAAAGAGTACAGCCTCAAGATGTAGAATTCCTGAAAAGTAGCCAATTACAGGCAGCCTGCTTTTTCTGTTGGGTAAAGCCTTCAAAGTGACAAAAGTTGACAGGACTGCACAGAGACAGGTCCACAAGCGAGGAGGAAGTAGGTTGCACGAGTGAGGATATCCAATCAGTAACAAGCAGTACTGCAGTACTCTATTTACGCATGTAACATGTTAAACATGAGGAAGAATTAATGAGCATCTGTATGAAGTAAAGCTGCTCATAGGAGTATTTATTGCATCTCTGGACCTCTGGATGACACCATAGTAACTGGTTAACTGATTGATAAATGAGCAGCGCATTGTTTAACTGGTTGTTAAACAGTTGGTGACTGATTTGAACTTTGACTGATTAACTAATATGATTAACTATATTAATGGACCGATATTTAAGTGATATTAATGATAATTAACTGACTGGTTAATTGATTAGCTAAGCAACTGGTGAGTTCAAGAGTAGAATTTATTTTCTGATATCAACACTTCCATAGAGGAAATAAAAAAGCGACATAGGTGTGACCTTTATTGAACTTTATTAAACTTTATTATACTCTGAAAGGATAAACACAAAAGGATAAATTAGCCCTCATGGAAACATCACTTCCTGTTAGAGCAGGGAGCTACATTATATCATCATACTCAGTCTGTTACAGTGACATCCAAAGCAAAGTTAAACATCATCAATGTGCTACATTCTGTGACAATACCCACCCTGAAGCTGCAACAGCTGGTACCTGAACGCAGCACAAGGCCTTCAGTGCCCGCCTGAATATCTCAGCTTCTGCAGGCTAACAATAACATTGACATTCACCTAAACACATTTCCCCTCATACATCATGTCTCTCTCTCACACACATACCAACAGGTTAGAGCACTGCAGTGTTTTCAGGTATTAAAGGCTTCAGGAAGGTGAGTTACAGTAGATATCGTGACAACAAGAAGTGGCGATTCGACAAATAACTAAAGCTAAAACTTTGTAGAGAAACACCTAAACCACCTGTTCCACCTGGGCTGGATCTCCTAGTTATCAATTTAGTAGCTCTGCCTTGTTCTAAATGACTGGTTCTGACCATAAAGTGGTTGATTAATCGAATACATTAAAAGCTTCTCACTGGTTCCTCTTAGTTCAAGTACAGTCTGGTCAGAATCTCAGTCTGTGTTCCCAGAAATGTTCCTATCATAAAGTGTCTTAAAGTCAAAACAGACCTGCTGGTTGCTGTGGAAACCAGACGCTGCATCAGCACACAAACAAAGTTTTAAGGATTGGCGAAATTCCAAAATGTGAAACCGCTACATACTCATGATACAATACAACAAGCACAGACCATAATCATTTTTTCTTTAGTTCCAATCTTGGTTCTGGGGCAAGTTTGGTACAAGACCAGAGTTCTGAAGACGTGGTAACACTCCTGACCTGTTAGCTTAGGGTTGGGACATCCTCTCAACAGAGCCAGTCTAAAGCCCAACTGTAAAACTGGTTTTAATCATGGCTTCAAATGAGAACATAATGTACCTCTGAAAGGTGGATGTAGGAAAAGATTTATTCTCCAAGAATCTTGAACCCATTATGACTGTTTTGATCAGCAACTTTTATGTGGCTCTGGTTCCAGAGGATCAGAAACCGTTTGACGCGACGGCATGAAGAGAACTAAGCATGGCTCTTTGGAGTCTTCCTTCCGTGACTTGCAATGAAGCAGAAGTTAGACTTAGATGAAGTCCTGAGGATCTGAGGTCAGTTTTAGAAATTAACCTGAACAGTAATGGAAGTTAGGAGTTTTAGAACTTACTATGAGGCTTTGTAGGTCATATCAGACTTCTCCTAAATATCCACCAAATGTCCCTTTAAATTTTCTACCTACATATTTTTAAAGTTTGGAGACTTGTTTCACAAAGGGACCTCTATTTTTTAACCCCCTTCAAGCATTGGTTAGTTTTCTAGTACTGTCAGGTCCAAATGTATGATGGCTCTGAAACCGGACTCATCCTGGGGATTTTATATTCAGATATTTTCTGCCATTTGATTGTTTTGTTTTTTGCAGCAGAGTTCTGTGTTTCTTTTATTCCATTTGAGGTTCTGGTGCCACTTCGGTTCTGGCTCTGTGACCTAGACGGTAGCAGGTGAGCGGTTCTCTAGAACAGGTTCAGAACTGCAGGAGGTGAAGGGAATGAAGGAAGGACGTGCTTTGGTCTAAAGGATAACGTGCCGGCTCTGGTGAATCTCTGCGGGATAAAAACCAGTCCAATTAAAATCTTCTCTCACCAGTAGGGAGCACTGGTTTCCACTCGACCCCAGCTTTGCCACTCAGGGAAGATACCCGCTGATGTCCTGGGACTTCCAAATGGATCAAACTCCATCTTGTCTGTCTTATGTGTGCTGCCGTGCCTCTGAATCTCCTGCCCAACGCTCCTTTTTAAAATCCAGTTTTGACAGCCAGTTGGATCCGCCGTCATCAACCGGTAGTTGTTCCCAAGGTTGTTATCCCAGTAGGTATGATCACTGGTCTGGTACTTGATGCAGAACTCCACTCCAGTGGAGGACACCATGTCCTGTGGTACAGAGACCGAGAAGCTAAAGGTGTCCGTGTCGGGGCAGCCGTAGACATTGTTCAGGTACTGGCACTTGATATCCTGGAAGGAGCTCCAGGAATCAAACGTGATTCGGATCAAAACAGACTTCTCATAGCAAATGTTCCGGACCTGGATGGTACCAGAAAGGAAATGGTCCTTTACTGCACAGGTTTCCAGACACACCTGCTGTGCTTTAAGTCGGTTTCTCAGGTCCAGGTAGTCTGTAGATGGTGGGGTAAAATCCAGAACCAAGCCAGAACCACTTTCTTCTGAGTCTGGAAGCAGAACAAACCAGAACACAAATTGTGAATTTCAATATATTGCAAATCTAGTTGAAGTGCTTGAGGGTACATCTGAGATGGCCCGATTTCAATACATTTTGCTCTAATATTTGACTCAAATTTAGCCCCAAACTAAAATTTTAGACAAAACCACAAAGATTTTCCCAATTTTTGTGCATTAGTAATTCTGTAAGAACATTAAGATGAACATGTTTCCGGGATGTTTCAGCTGGATCAAACTAAACTGGACAAACCAATCTCAGAGGGTGTTTTTGGATAAGTAATGGGGACATTGTTGAGTGTAAAAATGACCCACTCCGAAACACGTTTTCTGGAATGTGTTAGAGCCTACAGCGCAGGAATTGGTGGACAGTACCAAGAGGAACACCCCATGAAACATTATTGAACTCAAAATGTTAGGAATGAAAGGCCTGCAGCCTGGTGCATAACACAGCATTCAATCAGACTGATACCCGTTTCTTTTCTCTACCTTTAACGTCTTCCAGGCACAGTGCTTCAGTAGCATCCTCCAACTCTGTCAGGTGAAACTGCAGCTCAGCTTGAAAGTCGTCCTCTTCCTCGTTGTAGACATGAACAGTGGTCAGTGCCAGTCCCTGAGAGTCCGCGAACACCACGCTCTTCCTCAGGATCTTCTTCTGTGGCACGTTTTCTGCAGGGGCTGGGGTTTCCAGGGAGACAGGGCTACAGCATCCAGAGGACAGGCATGAACGCAGTGGCTGACAACTTGGGGACACGGTAGCTGACGTGTATCGGTGTTTGTCATGGTTACTGAGAAAAGAATAAGGCGGAGGAGAGCTGGCAAGGCAGATCCTGAAGGCCATGTCGACAGGCATGATGGAAAACTGAGTTGAGGAAAGAGAAACAGCATGTTACACATTAGATAGACATGGGAGCTAATAATGCTACTGATTTTATTGTGTCTTTACACACTCAATTCTCGTTCTTTTTACTGCAAGGTCCAGAGGATTGCCACTGATGTTTGGAAGATTTTACTTTAAAAAGTTAACTAGCTTTACCAAATTTTTTGTTTTATTATGTATTATTAAGACATTTTTTATTATTTTCATTTTTGTATGCTTAGTTTATTTTCATTTTATTTCTGATGCGCTGCACTTTTTCTCAGCTGTGGCTGCAGATAAGGAGCTCTATACAAATTTGATGATGATTAATTCATTTTCATGGAATTCAAAGTGCTTGTTTTCCACAGAGAGGAGTGGATATGCATTGCATCTGTCTTTATGGTAAAGTGCATTTTATCAGTCAGGTAAACAGCTTTTCCCTTCATGTGGCTCTCTAGACGCTGCTCAATTCAGAGTTACTGGAAAAGAGAATTGAGCAATTCTTGCCTGTGAAATGATTCATTGTAAAAATATGAAATATGTTAAGTTTAAGAAAAAACAAATAAAAAGTGAGCCTTTTAAGGACCAGAATGAGTCCAGATTGACACAAAGAAAAAAGTTTTTCTTTTTATTACTTAAAGACCAGAAGCTTCAAATAAGGACGAAATCTTTAAAAAAAAAAAGTAAATAATTCAAATGAGCAGATAACTACCCCCTTCTAACTGGGTCTGGTAAACCTTGGATGATGGTTCTGATGGAGCTATGGAGGGGAGATATGGAAATGGATAGGGCTGAGTACCGAACATCGGTTCTATTATGGTACCGACCGAAATGCTTCGGTTCTACAGAGTATCGAAACATGCCTCGTCTTTCGGTGCCAAGTTTCGGTGATTGGCTGTAACACTTAATGTGATTGCGTCACCCAGGAAAAATACATAGGTGGTCACGCCTACAGCCAGGGTTCATGTGTATCTGTTGTGAA